AAAAAAAAAAAAAAAAAACTTTTTAAGAAAAAAAGTATCAGTTCTGTATATAGAAAGGGGGTAATCACTTTTCAATTTGCTGAACACAGCACTTAAGCATGAGTGACTCCAGAAGAAAAGCCTGTGTCGTCCTTGGGCCTCTCAGACCCACTGTTAGCCTTCATCTGTGCCACTGAGTCAGAGGCCAGCCTCCACAGGCTGAATGAGTATTCCAGGCTGCTGAATCACCTGAGTATCAGGTGGGTTTGTCAGCGGAAGGCACTAGTGAGACAAAAGGTGCTCCATCAAACTAACACCTACAAGAGAGTAATTCTACAACTTCTAAGACCAACCAGCCCCCAGCCCCACAAAGTGACAACCCAACATTTATCTTAAAATTTGAGTAAAACAAAACAAAAACAAAAATAAAAACAAAAAAGAAACGAAGAAAAAAATTTGAGTAAAACAGAGAGCTAAACTTAGTGTCAGAGTCAGGTCCCAAATCCAGCGTGGCTGCACCTGTTTGCGGTCTCTCTGCTCTCTAAGCCTGTGTCCTGATGTGTAGTTCTCCAGCCACATTTTAGGCATTTACATACTCCTGCATTCCAGCATCTCTGCTGAGCTGCCGACTGCTGCCTTCCAACTTTTTATACGGGATAACTGTTCTGAATTTGAAATAACAGTTAAATGTAAACTGGAAAGCCTGTGTTCCAGCTCTGCCTCCAATATGCTGTAAATTCACACAAGTTCCTTAACTTGACCCACAATTTGTGTTGTCTAAGTTTCTTCATTTGTAAGACAATCTAATTGTCAGGCTAGGTGCTCTTCAGTGTTCAAAACAAAACGAAACTCATTACCTTTCCCAACACACTCTATATCCTGAACTCTGATGTTATTCCCTCAGTTTCCTGAGGATCCTCCAAGATCCTGATTCCACCCTCTCATTCATTACGCACCCCATTTGTGCCCTGCTCTAATAGTTACAAGTCATGTTTGCCTCATGTCTCTAAAACCCAGACATTGATCTCAGTGCCACTGACCTGACACAGTTCAGACCACACACCTCTCTCCTGCTCTATCAGCTGCCCACTAGCCATTCCCCTGCCCCATTCTTTTCTCTCTTCAATCTATTTCCCGTATTGTTGCCACAGTTATCTTCAAACCATAAAAATTACCCTACCACTTCCCCGTCTAAAATCCTCTACCAGCTCCCAACATGCCTTATGAGTGAATAACAAACTCATGTAGGCCGTGAGCCACCTTCCTAGCCTCCCCACAGGCCCTACTGGTCACCCTCTCCAGTGTGACCATGTGACTTTGTGCTGCAGCATCCTTTGGCTGTGATGCCTCAGTTCCTTCTCAGAGCAGTGACCTCATCTTCATGGATGGCAAGGCTCAAGTGTCACCTCTTCTACCCCAGCTCATAGCAGTGTTTCTCTTTCATGTTCCCTGGTATCACCTATGGCAGTGAATTCTACTATCTGTTTTTGTGCCCCTCTTCCAGCAGAACGTGTCCTGACATCCACACAATGGCTGCTCTATGACAAGAGTGAAATATAGAATTTAGACTGCAGGCTCTGGAGCCACGGTGCCAGGGTTCAAATCCTAGCTTTCTTGCTGTGTCACCTGAGGCAATATACTTAACTCTCCCCAATGCTATGCATATATAGCTGAAAAAAGTGGAAAACTGATTTAAACCTCAAAAAGTTATTCTTGTTTGTTTTGTTTGGGACAGGGTTTCACTCTATCACTCAGGCTGGAATGCAGCAGCGTGATCATGGCTCATTCCAGCCTTGAACTCCTGGACCCCAACTGATCCTGCCACCTCAGCCTCCCAAAGTGCTGGGATTACAAGCATGAGCCACCGCGCAGGGCCCTCAAAGGGTAATTAGAAAGACAAGAGACAGGCTGGACGCAGTGGCTCTTGCTTGCAATCCCAGCACTCTGGGAGGCTGAGGTGGGCGGATCACCTGAGGTCGGGAGTTCGAGACCAGTCTGACCAACATGGAGAGAGAAACCCCGTCTCTACTAAAGCCACAAAATTAGCCGTGTGTGGTGGCACATGCCTGTAATCCCAGCTACTCGGGAGGCTGAGGCAGGAGAATCGCTTGAACCGGGGAGGGGAAAGTTGCGATAAGCCGAGGTTGCGCCATTGCACTCCAGCCTGAGCAACAAAAGGGAAACTGTCTTAAAGAAAAAAAAAAAGACAGACAAGAGATAATGTACGTGAAGTGCTTAGCACTCTGCCTGGGGTAGTAGTGACAGAAAAATACAAGTAATCACAATATTAATAGCAAGACTAGCAGCAGCAAAAAAAATAATATTAACAGCTACTACTAACTCACCCCTCACTGTATATAAGGCACATGCAGAGACCCTTTCACATACCATTCATTTTACACCCACTGCATCATAGTTGCATGCTATTGCCGTCACCATCCCCATTTTTGCACATGAGAAAACTGAGAGCACAGAAGAACCAGAATCCCAGCCAGGTCCCAGATGCCTAGCTTTTACAGATCACGCTTAGATGGCTGAGTGAGCAAGAGACGCGAAATTATCAGGCAACCTGGAAATGTTCTGTAAAAGGGACGGGGACAAATCTGTACAAGGAAAAACGCTAAAATGTGCTCAGATGAGGAGATTCGCGAAGTCGCTGGGCAGCTAAGTAGGAATGCTTTTTCCTCCCGAATTTTGTTTTGCTGCTTCACAACATTTTTCCGGACCCCGGAGGGAACAAGGTGCGAAAGTAAACCCTTCCCGGGAGCCGCCCCGCCCCAGCGCCCCGGGCCCAAACCCGGCAAGCCCGGTCGGAGTATACCCGCCCCTACGTTGAAGGCAGGCAGCTGCCCTTCCGGCGCGCGGTGCAGCTCGCGGACCAGTTCCATGGCTTTTTCGCAGAACATGGCGGAGGCTTCCCGCTCCCGTGACCTTGCCGACCCGCAGCTCTCACGCCGAAACGGTCTTTGCGCTCTCGGCCGCCTCACTCTGTTCCAGTCCTACAGCGCCAGTCTCTCGCCTCCGTCTCCGCTAAGCGCTTTGGCGCCAAACAGGCCTAGCCAATAGGAACCCGGCCTACGGCGCCCGAAAGGGGACACCCGCCGCGCAGCCACATTCCAAGAGGGGCGGAGTAACTAAGAGGAGTCCCCTCCCAGGTGAGGTCCCGCTCCAAGGATGGGAGAACCCCTAGGCTGAGCAGAGACGGTTTTTCGAGTTCTCAGGCGGCGGGCCCGGCGACTCTGCGGGCAGCAAAGCTGGAAATAAATAAATGCACGCCCCGCAACTTCCTTCTGTTTTTCCTTTTGATTCATTCATTTTCGTTTAGATTCAAAAAAGGGCACTTCGAAGTTAAGAGGAAGGGCCTGTGCATTGTTGAATTGTTAGGACACAAGCGTTTCAGTTTTGCAGTGCGAGTTTTCTGTTTGATATTAATAGCGAACGTATCTTTTATTGGGTACCTAATGCTGGTAGGGAATGCAATGTGTATTTCATTTAATTTTCACTATTATCCCTAAAGTGTTTTAAGACCCGGGTTGATAAACAAACAGAAGTTACAGTAACTTGCCCAAGGTCACACAGCTCCAGAGTGATTAGACTGTATTTAGACTTTCCATTCCCAACACTGCAGTACCACCCTTTGATTTTAAATAAGTCGTTTAAAAATACTTGTAATATATGCCCTAGATTAAAACGATGCATTTTCTTGCCTAGATGGTTATGCAACATTTCTTAACCATATAAATCAAAGATAGGAATCACTGCTAAAGAACTGTTTTATTAGGCAATTTTCAAAAAGCAATGTTAATTTCTGACAAGCAATTTGGATTAATTCTAGCTAACCCTAGAAACTATGTTGATCTTTTGCAAATATATAGTAGATATGTCACCTGAGGAATGAGCATGGGAATAGCCTACTCAGGCTTATGTTGAATAATGACATTGCCTTTTTTTCTTTTTTCTCCGGGAAACAGGGTTTAACTCTAGGGATGCAAGGTAGAGTGCAGTGGCGCCACCTCAGCTCACTATAGCCTCCACTTCCCCGGCTGAAGTGATTTTCCCACCTCAACCTCCTCACTAGTTGGGACTACAGGCGCTGGCCACCTCACTTGGCT